CTTGACTTTTCCTCTGCTTTTTCTTTTTATTTCATTATTTCCTGGGCTTTTGATACTGTTGATCATATTATTCTCTTGAGGCTGCTACATCTTTCTTTTAATATTACTGATTTTTGTCTATATTGGTTTTCTTATCTCTGTAAATGTTTTTCTTCTGTTCTCAATAATTCTATTTCTAACTCCTCTACTCTTACTTTCGGGGTACCTCAGGGTTCTATCCTTGGCCCTCTTCTATTTATACTCTATACTTCTGAACTACCTCGTATTATTAATAACTTTTCTTTCTCTAGTCAACTATATGCTGATGATTCTTATATTTATACTTCTTTTCCTCCATCTAATCTCAATAGTGTTCTTCATAATTTATCTCTATGTCTTTCTTCGATTATCGCTTGGTCTGACTCTGTGTGTCTTAAACTTAATCCTTCTAAGTTTGAATTAATTTGTTTTAATAAATCTAAACACTCTATTACTATTCCTCCTATAATCTTACCTGATTCTAAAACTCTTGATGTCTCTCACAAGTTTGGTAGTCTAGATTTTATCTTTGATTCTACTATGTCTCTTTTTTCTCAGATTAATAGTGTTGCTAGAAGCTCTTACTTTCATCTACGTAGAATAAAAAAACTTTTGCCATTTCTTGATGATCCTACTCTTCTCCTTCTTGTTACTTCGTTAGTGTTATCCAGGACTGATTATTGTAGCTCGCTCTACTATGGTCTTCCTGATTCTACACTCTATCCTATAAGTAAAGCTTTTAACTCTGCTGCTTGTGCTCCTTTCTTTTCTCATATATCACCATATCTTGTTCTCTTGCACTGGCTACTTATAAAACATAGAATAATTTTTAAAATTTGCACGTTTATGTATATATGTATTAGTCTCAATATAAATTATTTCCTAAGTATTTATCAGATATATTAATTGAACCTAAACGCCCCGGTTTACGATCGTCTTCTTGTTCTCGCTTCTTTTTAACTCGTGTTAAACACTCTTTTGCCAAATCTGCTTTTGCTTTTTCTGGCCCTTTTCTCTGGAACTCTCTACCTACTTCTCTGACTACTTCTCCATCACTTACGAAGTTCAGAGTGCATCCCAAGACCCACCTATTTTCAAAATTCATTGAGGAGCACTGTTGAACATCGCGGAAATAGCGCTTTACAAGCTAATTGATCGATTGATTGATTAATAAAGACTAAACTTAATCTTAATGTTTAGGAAAACTTAGTTGTCAGGCACCTTGATCCGATGCTCATGCAAATACATACTCATCACCACACCTACTACATACATAAGCATGCTTAACCTTTTTTTATTTGGTTCAAGGGTTAGCTTAGTTATTTATTTTAGTATCATTCATTTATTAATTTATTTTATATAAAAATTATGTTGTGTTAATTAAGCCAGATTAAGTTGTCAACTATATGCTGATGATTCTTATATTTATACTCATGGTAATGCCTCATAAACAATAATTAGTAGAAGCAATTATTTCATTGCTGTTTAATGAAATGATTGTGTTTCCGTTTTAATATCTGTTTCAATTTTTTGTGGCCATCTTGTTTTGATGATTAACATTTTGTTTTATGTCATTCAGATGCCACAATATCTCATCTGCTGGTACCAAGACAGAGGATCATCCCGATGTTGATGACGACACTCAAACAGAATGCTTCCTGGATAGTGGGTTTGTCATTATTATTAACTAACTAGTTAGAAACTTCTGTTTTGCTACTTTGGCTAGAACCTAATTGATTGGTTGATTGATGTTATTTAATACTAAAAAACTTAATTAAAGAAATACAAGTTCAATTAAATTAATTAGTGCTTGTTCACTTGTCCATTGACTTATTGCTTTCTTACACTGCAACTATTTATTAATTTACTCAGCGGCATGTTCAACATTTTTGAAATATTTAATTAATAGATTGAACCTCTAACCACCATCCCCTAAAATAGGCCCAGGGCAATCAGACGCTCTGGCCACAGCATCTTCCTTGACAGCTACAAATCAAGAATCGACAGTGGGGTCAACAACATCTGTCCTTTCTGCCACCAACAACCAGACGATGCCCCCCATCTGTTCAGCTGCCTCAAGAACCGCACAAATCTCAAAATAATGGAACCCAGTAGATGTGGCCAACTGTCTTGGTCCCTGCCTGGACGTCTAGAATGGGCAACAACAACAGCAGAATTAACTGTGCCTTATTTTAAGAAACCTGAATTCTCATTAAATTGATGAAATATAGGTGTCTGTCTGTATATATGTATGTAGGTAGGTACTGTACGTACGTACGTATATATTATTATATATGTATGGTCTCCTTGTCGATAAAAGCTATGAGCTATATGTATGTATGTATATATGTATGTACGTACGTATGTATGTATGTATGCATGTATGTATGCAGGTGTGGTTGTATGTATGCAGGTTTAGGGTATGTATGCATGTATGTACGTATGTATGCAGGGGTGTTTGTATGTATGCAGGGTTGTGGTTGTATGTATGCAGGTGTGGTTGTATGTATGCAGGTTTTGGATTAGGGTTTCATTTCAAATCTTACTAATTTTATATGAGTTCATTCATGTTGTTAAATGTTAAGTGAGAGGCTATTCATGATTCTTATGATATAATTAACGCCCATTTACTAATTTTTAATATTTTAAATAATCATTATAGAAATAAAATGGATAATATTGTAACAAAATGTAAATAAAATACTTGAAAATTTCCTCATAAAATGGCGTTTAAAATTCGAATAAAATTATAATTTCAATTATTTGAATCGTTAAAAAACGGGAAAAAATGCTTATTTTCATTATTTTATACTATATATCATAAAATTGATAATATATTTTTAGCTAATTATAGACTAAAAAAGGTAATAAAAGTAGTAAAATCGCGAAAAAATTACTTTAGTAATTAAATTTATCATTGCGGTCAAAATACAAAATTTATTATTATTACTATAATTAACATGCATTTTTATGATTATTCCGAACAACTTATTATTATTCAGCATAACAAAATTTTCTGAAAATTTCCAAATTTTTCACTAAAATTTTCGAACAATATGAATAATCATAAAAATAATGAATAATAATAATGTATAGAAAATTTATTATTATTGCGAACAACTTATTATTATTCCGCACAACAAATTTTAGTCAAAATTTCACGAAAATTTTAGCATAATAAGAATAACAAGAGAATAAAGGAATAATAATAAATTTATTATTAAAAATATTTCACATACGTTAGCATATACTCGCGCACGCATATACATGTTATATAAATACATCCTTGTATACATATGTTATATAGACATGTACCTTTGTATACGTATATATTTATATAAATATATGCCCATATGTATATAAATACATGCTTATACGTATGTATATATATATATTATACATATATATGTATATATATAGAATAAACTAATTTTTCTTTCGGTAAAATTTTGGATCTAAAAACGACGAAATTGGACCCCCCGGTTAATTTTTTTTTCAATCGCCATTTTAACGTTAGAAACGACAAATATAAACGTAAGCACCGGAAATTAAGATTTATTTTTAAATTTAAAAATGGATTTAGATCAACATTTCACGCCATAAAAGAAGTTGGACAAAAATAATTATAAACACGCATTTTAATATATTTTTTAAATTACTTAATAATGAAAGTTGATAATAAAATAAAGCATAATTAGATACTTAATTTAAAAATACGCAAATTTACTAACAACAGCAACCAAAACATTAATTAACATTTCAAACATTCTAAAAGGATTTGAACTATTACACTTATAACTACAATATAAATTTTAACAATATTAAAACATAATAAAATAAAAAAAAATACGATAATTAACAACAAATTACGCGTTTGAGAAAAGCATTTAAAAGGAGGTATCAGCATCATCATCATCATCATCATCACTCCCTGAACTTTAGAGACACCATGGCTGCCACAAGCAATCAGTAACATCATTATCACCAGAGACTGTAGTATTAGAAGTAACTGCAGTAGCAACTGCTGCTACAGAAGTAGTAGTACCAGCAGTAGGTTTATGATTAGGTTACTATTTTCTTCCATGAAATGAGGCTCTCCACGGAATCAAAGTTTTCAGACGTTTCTCAGACTCTCCATTTAAATCTCCGTAAAAATTCTCCTGTCGGATATAATTTAATCAATTGTTATAACTATTCAATTGTTTAATTATTATTGTAATTATTATTGTTATCAAAACAAATGGTAAATTTGTAAATTGATTTTTATTAAATTATGATATCAATTCAAACATATTATACATTATACAATCTTTACAACATAAAAAAAAACAGAAGAAGAGGAACAAGATGAAGAAGATGGCGAAAGAGATGAAGAAGCAGAGGAAGATGACGAAACAGATGAAGAAGACGAGACAGATGAAGAAACAGATGAAGAAACAGATGAAGAAACAGATGAAGAAACAGAAACAGATAAAGAAGATGAGACGGAGGAAGAAACAGAAAAGATGAAGATGAGAGAGATGAAGAAACATAAACAGATAAAGAAACAGAAAAAGATAAAGAAACAGATGAAAATGATGAACAATCCTAAAATTTAGTCATTCACTAGTTGACTAATTTAGTCAGAATATAACTAATATACATTGCCATATATTCATTGTAAATTAAATATCATTGAAAATAACATCATCTTACTGCACCATAATCAAAATCCCCAGAAAACCTGTTCTAAATACTTATTAGAAAAAGTTACAGCCACCACAGCAGCTACTTTAAAGTGTTGGTTGACTTCATCATACTGAGAGACAAGAATGTATCCTGCAATCTCACAAAAAGTACGTTTTAATAGTAATTAGTTGACATAAATTAGGTACAAGTTAGTTTAAATTCAAATATATCAGGCCTTAGTTAACAGAAACGTACACAGACAGGAACTGTAAAAACTTGGGCAAATATGCGAAACTGAACAAAAGAAAGAAGAAATGATTGAGGCAAAATTTTGCACAAACCAACTGCAAACTTCCAGCAGGGAGCCAGTGATGCTGGTTGATGTCAATGACGATGCCCTACAGTGGCACACTCAACCATCTTCCAGGAAGCATTCCTTCCTCATCGGCAGCAGAGTAGCTAGGTCATCAAACTTCCTCATTGGTCACAGCTCAGATAAAATAATATATTAATACATTAGATAATAATATACTATTAAACGAAATAGAATAGAATTATAACCATGAATATAAAAAAAATCATAACTAGCAAATAGGTTTATAATATAAATAATAATTGAAATGACAATTATAACATGACAGTGTGAAAATGATTATAGAATGTGTAGAGGGAAAAAAATATTTAAATTATAAACCTTCTGACTGTGATAATTAGAGTGTTATCCATTCTTGACTCTTGCAGGGCAAACACCTACAAATATAAAACATATTTTAGTTATTATATGCGTAATTCAACAACGCAAAAGAAATTTGTTTTAATAAATCCATACGCACTATTACTATTCTGTCAATTATTTAAAATCTGGAATAGTAAAGAACCAACTGTGTATCTAGAGACACGCTTACTGACAAACACACAAAGCAAAAAAATACGAACCTAAAAATATACATAATTGGTTTCTAGAGTTACCTGAAGCCACACTTAGTGACAAACACACAATAAATAAAACATACATACATCAGGATATATATTTAATTCAATTAAATTAAATGTTAATTCAGCAAAGTATCATTGAAAACACATCACTAAGTGAGACTCGAAGTTTTCACTTGTTGGACCGCAGAAGTAGTAGATCAGAAATGGTGTAAAATATACATAAAGATAAACATTTGGGGCTACCCTAAGGTTTCCAAGTCTGAATAAATTTTTTTATTGTTCGCTCCCATATGTATGACTAACATTTCTCGTCCCATTTGTATAGTTTTTGCAAATTGCATGCTAGAATAAATAAGCCTTTAGCAGTCAGCAGCAGTTAAAAAGTATTAAAGGAATGTAAGATTATTAATCTTAGAGATTAATAAGTGAATAGTAAAAATTTAAAATAACAAATAAATTTATAAGAAGAGTTTGGCTTCACTGATCCAGTTGTTTTTCAGTCCCTCCCACATTTATAAAAAAAACTTACAATCACTGGCAATGAAGAAATGTTAAAAAATTTAAAACACTAATTAACTAATTAAGCGAATGACATTGAAAATTAAATAAATCTTGATAATTAAGTTAGAAGCGGGTTCATAGAGTGTAGTAGTAGGGTTAGGGTTAGGTTCATAGTAGTTCATAGGGGGGGTCTAAGATTTTGTTACGGAGTGTTACAGGGAGGAAGGGGGGGTTCAAAAATTGTTACGTAACACAGAAAAAAATGTTGTTTTTTATATTTTTCATTATTAATAAATTTAATTTTTCATTCTAAAACACAAATGTTAGTGTAGTTTTTATAGAATCTATGTTAATAAATGGTTAATGATCATATTTCTTTAAAATTGTCGTTTTCATCCATGAAACTTAGCAGTTATGAACATTCTGATAAAAGAACACGACGAATGCAATGCATTTTCGTGACCGCGTGGTACATACGGAAAAAAATCAAAAAAAAATTCTGCTTCTACTCTAAATTCAATTGTTTTTTATTACCGAAAAATTAAAAATATTTTTTGTTACGTAACAGGGGGGGGGGTAAGTCGTTTGTTACGGAAGTGTTACGAAAGGGGGGGAGGGGGTCAAAAAAGTCGTTTTTTCGTGTTACGTAATACTCGAACGGCCTCTAGTCTACACTGTAGATTCGGACTCACGGCATGTATTATCGTCCGACAAATATATACATCAGAAAAAAACGATAAAGGATTAAATAAAACAAAATTATATTATAATATTACCTGGACTCCATCTTTTCAACATTTGAGCGTCCATCGACATTTCTTGGTAGATCCATCCGACGATTTAACACAAATGCAGCCAGAGAAAAAAAACCAGTTCGAAATTAAAACGAAAAAAATACATCATAAACTACAAGTGTGGAAAGCCAGAAACTTTTAAAATTTCACAACAAATTAGAAATGCAACTTGTGTTCTAAGAAAAAGCGCAAGATTAGAAAATCTAAATGCACACGAACTTGATGAAGACGGTGCTCCCAAATAACAGAAAATTGTTACAATATATAATCTTATACAACTCCACATAACTACATACATACACATACATATATCAATGTTATATATATAAACATAATAACAACCGATAGAACTATGAAACTATTTATTCCCTGTAAATAATAGTTAGTAATAAAAAGTTTTAACCGTATACAAAAATTAAGCATTGTTGTTTAACATACCTATGTATATGTTCTTATAAATATATATATATATTAATGGGTTTGTGTGATATCACTTGATTTGAGGTATATAATTGAATACATGAAACCCTACTAAAACTTAATGTCATTCATATATAAAAAAAAACAAGTGGAACTGATTGCACCATATAATTTGAATTGCACCACCCTAAGGCAAGTCTGAGAAGTCTTATAAAATAATTAACTCTTCTAATCATTTATTAATAAATTATAAATGATTAGAAGAGTTTATATAATAATTAAAAATTATTAATAAATTATAAATGATTAGAAAAGTATATATAATATAAATATTTGATAATTATAATAAAATTTAGAATATTATATAAATAATTATAAAAAATCATTTAATTCAATTGAACTATACTTTTGGCACTTATCGAGCATTATATTAATCACATACTTACTTATTAGAACATTTATAACTTTTTTGATTTAACATTAAAAAATTGCGGGTTTAAAAATGTAAAAACAAATGTAATAAACAAACCCCAATGTCAAAGTTGATTAATTGATACGCAGGTTGGGGTTGACTGCTACAAGCGTCAAACGTCATTACAATGAAAAAGAAAGTTATTATTTAATATTCACCATAGGCATAGTTATGACAAATGAATGCTTAGTTTCGTCTTTTTTGTTGTCAGGTTTAACTAATTGGAAATAGCAGCCCTACTCTTTCGCTATTTCTTGTTCCAAATTAACAGTAAAAATTTGTCGATTACGCTGAGCTGTTAATAATGGACTGTGGAATGCCTCCATTTGACAGACTCCGATGGAACGCAGAAATCATAAAAATAAATTATATTGACGAGCAACGATCTGAATTGAATATGCTATATAACTAAGGTACATTTTAGTAACATTAAATATTAATTACTGCAAACCGCATACACACTTAGGTCAACATTAGGTCAACAGAGATAGAGAGAGACGGACATCACAAGCCTTATCTCAAAATCTAGTTCTATTCAGTTAAAAAAAAGGTAGAATTCAATATTACTACCATTGAATTATAATTTCTAATATCAATAGTTATCACTATTTTAGTGCTAAATTGAAAATTCACAGCAGATTCAGATAACACTCAAATAAATGAAACAACTTAAACTAGCAAACTAATGCTACTAGTAAAATATATAAAAACACAAAGTTTTCAACGCATTTTTTAAAACCATTCCCAAAATTTTCATTTCAAAATTTGGTCATTCATTAAATTGGTGCTTAACCTGTCAATCGATCTCGGTTGTAATTTGGACGGGTGGCCTGCAGATCTGTCAGGTTGATTGGAAAAAAACAAAATGTTAAATGATTAATTTTATATTTTTCAAAAACCTTCAACAAGCCACTGACTAATGCAATATACAATCACAGTACAGAAGGAACAAAATCCAAATAACAACTAAATAAATAAAAGTAACATTACTGTAGCTGAACTATTGAATATTTGATTAATCAGTAAAAACAACATAGGAAGCTAATTTAAACAAAGAATTTGATAACGTTAGAAGTTTTTGTGGAAATCAAATGACAGTTCCATTAAAAGTAACGCAGTATTTACAGAAGCAATCAATTCCGCTTGACAGGGGAACATCAATCCATATTAAAAAAAATGGTTCAGTCCACTGATTTTGATGAGATGTAAGATGATGAAGCATTTGAATAATAACAAAAGAATTAACAGTGAAGAATTATTTATCAGATCGAGACGGCCTCCACAACAACAAACAAAATAATGATTGAAAAGGAAATTAAAACACAAAGATTACCAGCCAATATGATTCTTTCTCCTTCATCCTGCAGTAATGAATGAGAGAAACAAACACCCACAATATTAACTCAGCCCAGCTTGAGGAAATTTAAAAAATATATGACTGACTGACGAATTCTTTCAAGTTTTGAAAATAATTTGAAAAAAAGTTAAATTGTTAACACTGCAACACTTTTAGTAGTTAAAACCGAAAATTAAAAAAAAACACAAGTTTTTTTAATTTGAAATTTTATAAAAAATTTGAAGGCCAGTGTTTTACAAAAACACTGAAAATCTGATTGAGTACATATAGTTGATGAATAACTTCAATTTCTATTGTTTGCAGATGATGAATCTGTCCCTTGAACTAGGTGAGATGTAGGAAAGAGGACGAAACATTTGTATAATAAAAAAAATTAACCGTAAGAAATTAATCATCAAAACAATATGGCCACAAAAAACAAGATAAATTATTGAAATAGAAATTAATACACTCACAATTATTACTCACCAATCAAATTTAGTAATAAAATAATGAAAGTTTAAACAATGGTACAAGAGTTGGTTTGTGATGTTATGTGATGAACTTCTGATAAACTTCTGGTGAACTTCCCGTACAATAAAGCATTCTTATGTGGGTGCCAAGAAAAAGTTCAACAAATTATCTGCACATATTCACATTTGAGATGATTAAGCTGGTCACCAACTCCACGAATGCAGTGTCTTCATATTCTGAGCTATTGAGTGTTCATGAAGATTAAATAAATTTTTTAATGTAGAACAAAAAAGTTTTTAAAAAAGTATAAAACAAGAACAAACCATTAATTTCTCAACACTAGAATGAAGGAAGGCTACAATTTTATAACAAGCATTACAT